TAGCCAGTCTCCAGATCTCAACCCCATAGAAAATCTTTGGAGGGAGTTAAAAGTCTGTGTTCCCCAGCGACAGCCCCAAAACATCACTGCTCTAGAGGAGATCTGTATGGAGGAATGGGCCAAAAATACCAGCAACAGTGTGTGAAAACCTTGTGAAGACTAACAGAAAACGTTTGACCTCTGTCATTGCCAACAAAGGGTATTTAACAAAGTATTGATATGAACTTTTGTTATTGACCAAATACTTATTTTCCACCATAATTTGCAAATAAATTCTTTAAAAATCAGACAATGTGATTTTCTGGATTTTTTTTTCTCATTTTGTCTCTCATAGTTGAGGTATACCTAGGATGAAAATGACAGGCCTCTCTCATCTTTTTAAGTTGGAGAACTTGCACAATTGGTGGCTGACTAAATACTTTTTTGCCCCACTGTACGTGTACGGTTAAAAACTGTTCCTCGACGGCGTCTCTCAACAGGTTGCCCATCACTGTGGCTTTAGCGCAGGCGCCGTGGGAATTGTAGTCCTTTATAGTGCATTGACTACAGACGTCACAATTACGTGGCCTTTCTTATAAAATCAAAATACTGGCTCTAACAGTATTAAATAAAATGTGTTATTATTATTACTGGTTGTGAACTGTATGTTGTAATAAAGAAACACTGTTTAGGTACATATAATGAAGGACAATACTACTGAGCAGGCTGTTCGATGGACTCTTTTCCCCCATGCTGTGAACTGACACAAACTACGCGTTGGGGGTTGCATGTTATGTGAAAGGTGACCAAGATAATGTTGTGAAAAATGAAAAAAAAACCTGAGAAGACTTCTAAAGTAGCATCTTGAATGCTTGAATTACATGTCTGAGAGTAAAAAAATACACATGACTGGTCAAAAATCATTCATGATCTCATCCAAGAAGCTCTGTGCAACTGTGATGCTTTGCAGATACTTTATTACACAAATAACATATATACTCAAAATATTACTCTTGTAGGGTGTCAAAATAAAAATCTGATTGCTCACACGTAACTGCAACATCGGAATTGCAATTTCTAGGATATGCAATTCAAACAATATACAAATATAATAGATATATTTCATCAGGGTCTAAGTATACTAGATGAATTTTAAGAATAGGCAATGAAAGATCGAATGTAGCAAAACCATAGAAAACAGAATTAAACTGAACAGTGTGATCATATCCCATCATATTTGTGTTTTATCTCTTTTTTTTTTTTTTTAGGTGTGCACTGTGAACTTGTTTTATTAATTCATTTTTGCATTGCGACTCAAGCACTTGATTCACAAAAAAACGTACTTTGAATGTTGCCATTACGTTTGAAATTACATGTATTTTGCCATCTTCTTGGTGTTCTATTCATCTCCATACATTTTGAAACGTGATCAATTCATAATTTTTTATTTCACGTTAACTATGATTTAAAAATGTTGAGAAACTATTGCAGTCTGAAGCGTGCCTTTCAACGGACCCCTGCAAAAAGGTTCACAAACAAAAAATCACACAGCTGACAAAGAAAAATTCATGTCCAGATTAACATCCACCATACTTTTTTCATGTTTTAGCCCGTTTGCAACACATCATATCATTTCAATCACGGCTTACCATTTAGCAAATGACGATGCTTAAAACCTTAATTTCTACAAATTTAACAAAAACAAACAAACAGCTGATGTAGTTCCATGTATGTTTGTAGCCACACACTGACACACACACACACACACACACACACACACACACACACACACACACACACACACACACACACACACACGGATGAAAGCAACATCAATATAATACAAGCTCAAAAAGCAGCAGCTGTTTTAATCCCATAATGCATTTTGTAATGGCACATACAAAGAAGGCAGAACATTCAGCATGCAATGGTATTAAACTAAAACATGAAAGGAAAAAGACTTCGAAATGGGCCCTGAACAAAATTCTAACGGAGATGAAGAGAGTAATATGAGTGGTGGTCAAAAGAAAGCAAAAACGGTGAGCTCAAGAAAATACAGCAAAAGTTATCTTTCGTTTGGATTTACTTTCACCGGGGATCCTGATGCACCGACTCCGTTATGCTTGGTGTCTCGGGAAAAGCTTAACAACAGTGTCATGGTCCCAAGCGAGCTTTTCAAGCATGAGTGCTATAAAAACTAAAAACAGAGAGAGACTGCGAGCTGTTGAGGAAGAGCTTTGTGTGTGCCTTTCTTCAGTTCCTGCCAGGATATCAGCTTTGTGTTCATCTAAACACTCCCAGGTTTCACACTGAGTGAGTATAAATAAATTGAGAGACTATTGACTAATTGTCATTGTAAATGTGTCATTTTGTTACACTTTTGGTTGGTGGTGGGACTCAAGATTTCTTTAATGTAAAAAATGTGCCCTGGCTCAAAAAAGGTTGAAAAACACTGGCTTAAGCCATTGGGAGATTTGGTCTTGTTTTAAGGCTGGATCTAAGGCCAAATCATTAGAGCTGTGCTAATGGTTTTACTCAATGCAAGTTTGATTTGGGGAAAATAATCTTTCAATGTGTGAAATGAATTACCAAGACCACGCTTTATCAAGACCACGATTAAATTACATTAATGTTTAAATTAGCTTTATATACAGCACATTTTTAAATATATAAATAATAAGATTGGTAGCTTTACAATGGTTAGACACGTGATGAAAAGCATACACTCAGCACTGTAAGCAGGAGCTTGGTGACTGGCCAAAGAGTCTAAGAGGTGGGGTGAGGCGGCGGTAGAGCGGAGTACTCCTCGTTCTCCGAGTCGCTGCTGTCAACATCTTGTCTGTCCTGGTCGCTACCCTCAGTGCTCAGCTGGTCGAAGCCCTGGCGACTGTAACCCTTATGCGACGCAAAGAAGTTCCCCAGGTTCAGACTGCCCACAGCTTTACCTGAACACACGGGCAAACAAAATCACCAACCACCAAATGATGAGCAGTTTCACAAATACAAATGATTTCTTCTCGTGGAGTATTAGGGATGATGTTCAGGTTCTAAACTATTATTTACAGCTGATGGGAAAAAAGGCAATATTTTGAAAACTAAAGAAAGTGTAATTATGATTTCTAGAGGAAATAGACAGAAGACGGACAGGAGGTTAACACCAAAGGGACACGGTAAGACTGGTTCATGGAAGTTTCAGTAAACCAAAATAATTGAAACCCTACGGCGAACTTTGATGTAGGCTGATAAGCAAAATGTACCTACATTTGATTGATTTGGATAACTTATAACTTAACTTATGAGGCAATATACCTAACCTCTAGTGAGGGGCCCAGCCCTTCGTATATTTTCACCCCTGGCCTAGATGCTTAGAAGGCATTTGATAGAGTTGATTTGCATCAATTTGTTTTATACAAATCATAAATCAATAAGAGTTAATGGTCATTGTTCTGATTTGTTTAATGTAGAGGGGTGTTAGGCAGGGCAATTTAATGTCACCGCTTCTTTTCGCACTCAGTATTGAACCCTTAGCAGAGGCTATACGCCTAAATATAAAGACTCAAGGAAGAGGATATGGGAGGGTTAATATACTAAATAGTCCTTTTTGCAGATGACATTTAGCTTTTTATAAAACACTCACTCCCCTCATTATTTGGAAGGGTGGAGACGATAAGAATGAACCTGCTTCCATGATTACTCCTATTTAAATCTCTTCCTGTGGGAATTCCAACCTCAACATGTTAAATAAGTTAATTTCTACATTTATTTGGCAGAATAAGTGACCCAGAGTAAGACTTAAACTCTTTTTTCCTAACTAATGTTAAGGGAGGCTTGGGCTTGCCACATTATTATTTTTTTAAATGGGCTGCTCAGTTAACTGTAATAGTGGCCTGGATTAGAAAATACAAGAAACAGGATGGGCATAGATAGAGCAAAATGCAACCAAGGGTGTGACATTATCGGCTTTGCCTTTTATTGATATTAAATATATTAACAGGATTAAAATTGAAAATGTATGGATCAGGCATACTCTAGTTGTGGACAATGTCATGAACCATGCTGATTGTAGGCAATATAGGGTTCCCTCCTTTGACAAGGGATTGAGGATTTAAAGCAGGGGTGGGGAACCTTTTTCCTCTCAAGGGCCATTTCAATTTTTACAACATCCTTCGAGGGCCGTACAAATGATTAAACTCAACATCTGCTTTCTTGAATTTTTTTATTTTTTGCGTGTGTTTATAAATTACCTCGAGGGCCGTACCAAATGGTCTCACAGGCCGTATACGGCCCGGAGGCCGGAGGTTCCCCACCCCTGATTTAAAGGATGGGCCGATAGATGTCTTATCACAATGAATCAAATATTTAGTAGAACAGATGTCAAAAAAGTAATTTGGGCTTCCATCAAATGATATGTACAGGTACCTCTACATACACTATATTATGAGCCACAAAGAGAGAGGCAGACAGCAAAGTTCCAAACAATATACAGGTACATCTCAATACATTTGATTATCATTGAAAAGTTTATTCATTTAAGTATTTCTATTTAAAAAGTGAAACTCATTTATCATCTGAATTCATTTCACACAAAGTTAATTATTTAAATTGTTTATTTGTTTTAATCTTGATGATTACGACTTACAGCTAATGAATACCCAAAATTCAATTTTACAGAACATTTGAATATTACATGATGCCAATAATAAAACAGAAATGTCGGCCTTCTGAAAAGTATGTTCAGTACTTAGTTGGTTTTGCACAAATGAGTGCATCCATGCGGTGTGACATGTGGGTGATCAGCCTGTGGCTCTACTGAGGTGTGATGGAGGCCCAGGTTGCTTCAATAGCAGCCTTCAGCTCGTCTGCATTGTTGGGTCTCGTGTCTCTCATCTTCCTCTTGACAATACTCCATAGATTTTCTATAGGGTTCAGGTCATGGGAGGTTTCTGGCCAATGAAGACCAGTAACTCCAAGGTCATTAAACCAGGTGTTGGTACTTTTGGCAGTGTGGGCAGGTGCCAAGTCCTGCTGGAAAATGAAATCAGCATCTCCATAAAGCTTGTCAGAAGAAGGAAGCATGAAGTGCTCTAAAATTTCCTGGCAGACGGCTGTGTTGACTTTGGACTTGAGAAAACACAGTGGACCAACACCAGCAGATGACCTGGGTCCCCAACCATCACTGACTGTGGAAACTTCACAGTGGACTTCAAGCATCTTGGATTGTGTGCCTCTCCACTCCACAGACTCTGAGACCTTTAGTCTGTGTGACTGGCGAAGCCACACAGAGTATATTATTCACATACTTATCTCATCTTATTCTCCTTCTTCCGCCACAAATGTTATCATGCTACTCGCGTTGACACGAAACACACAAAAAACACATCAAAAAATGCGGAATGACCGGGATCGGGTTGCTATGTCTTTTATAAGAGATTCGCCTTGCCGTTTTCACGCAAATCACAGAAAACTGCGATCATTTGCCCCATAGGACTGAATGGGAAATCCATTTGAACAGAGCTCAAACACACCCCACTTTGACCACATACAGATTCCGCATTCTTTAACGAAGAACAAAAATTACACGTTTAAACGGTTCTCGAGACTATGGACTTTATTAGACTACTTGCATATTTTTTGATAGTTAGTATTGTTCTGACGTAGTCGCAGCATACGTTTTGTGAATATTTCACACTGTTTCACATTTTATAATGGGTGTGTATGGGAGAGCTTGTTAAAGGTCCCATGTCATGCTTTTCCGGTTATTACCCGTCCCCTTGTGTGTTATGAAGGTTTTTATGCATGTAAACAGTCTGCAGAGTCAAAACCCTCAAAGTACACCCTGTAGCGAGTAAAACTCTAAACAGAAAAACACTCCTCAACAAAACGCCTCGTTGGAGATACGTCACTGTCCATTGATTCTTCCGGGTACCGCATGATGTCATGCGTTACCCGGAACCAAATGGACCAATCCTTGGAGCCGTTACGTGACGTCCGCGGAGCCGTTACGCTAAGCCCCCGCTGATTGGTCCAAATTGACCAATCCACGGCTTTCTCACACACACACTCAGTGCAGGCAGCTCTGCTGATCTCTCCTCCCTGGCTGCAGGCTGATAACAGACAGTTGGGATCGTGGAGAAATTCTCTCTGCAGACCCATTCTCACAGCGTTTATCTTACTCAATATCAAGCCACACTTATTGTTTTTACTTCGGCTGTGACTTTGTGTGTGCTAAGGGTGAGTTTGGCTGTGTTTCGCTGTCGCTAAACAAGGAAACCACACCTCCACGGAGCTCAGCGCGATTCAAAACGTCCCGACCAATCAGAGCACACTGTGCTCACAGGGAGGGTGGGGGCTGGAGCTATTGGAGCTACAACGAGCCGTTAAAGGCAGAGAGTGAAATTCAGGGAATACACGTAGTTTACAGAGATGCTGTATGAGAAACCAAAGTGATTTTGGAAAATTGCACAATATAAATCTATTCTAGTAGACCTCAACAATGGAATTATGATCAGTGGAAATGGCCATGACATGGGACCTTTAAGACTTAGAGTGGGTGACATCACGGCTAGAGGGGAGAGGAGCTGTAAAATCTGAAGAGTTTTTTTTCCAACTATTGCTCGGCTGGCCACAATTTTCACTCTTCTAACATAATTTGGTCGTTAACTAAATCCAGTGGTAATCTAAAGATCTGAATTTTCTAGTTTCCAAATGAACTGCAAAATGTACTTTCATCTGAAAAGAGGACTTTGGACCACTGAGCAACAGACCAGTTCCATTTGTCCTTAGCCCAGGTAAGACGCTTCTGAAAATATCTCTGGACACGAGGAATGCGACACTTGTAACCCTGGAGACGTCTGTGCGTGGTGGCTCTTGATGCACTGATTCCAGCCTCAGTCCACTCCTTGTGAAGCTCCCCCAGATTTTTGAATGGCTTTTACTTGACAATCCTCTCAAGTCTGCGGTTCAAGGCTTTTATTAGTCATGCGTACATAGCTACAGTGTAGTTATGACGATGAAAATCCTAGGTCACAGACTCCTCCAGCACAGCAGCGCAACACAATAAAACAGAAAAACAGAAAAAATACAGCAAGTAAATACAAAAAATAAAATAGTAAAATAGTCTAATAAGAGTATATATACAAGTGATTAGAATATGATATATTAGATAAATAATTTCTAAGTAGCAGCCAGATGAATGTTATGGATGTTGTTACAAAGTTCAGGTGTTTAATAGTCTTATGGCCTGTGGGATGAAGCTGTCCCTGAGTCTGGTGGTTTTAGTCCGGATGCTGCGGTACCGCCTGCCAGACGGCAGCAGACAGAACAGTTTGTGGCTGGGGTGATGGGGGTCTTTTGTAATCCTGAGGGCTTTCTTCCTGAGCCGCTGGGAGTAAAGGTCCTCCATGGATGGCAGCTCGTGCTGTGCAGTTTTCACCACCCTCAGTAGAGTCTTACGATTGAGGCCGGGCAGCTGCCGTAGCAGGCCGTGATGCTCTCACTGGTTCTGTAGAAGTTACAGAGAAATCCTGGAGTCCATGTTGATCAACTCTGTTGCTTGTGCACTATGACAGTCTTCTGGAAAACTGTCGTCTGCAGTCTTCCCTGTGATTGTGTAGCCTACTGAACCAGATGAGATACCATTTGAAGGCTCAGGAAACCTTTGAAGGTGTTTTGAGTTGATTAGCTGAGTCTACAATATGGAATATTCAAATTTTCGGAGAAACTGAATTTTGGGTTTTCCTGAGCTGTAAGCCATCATCATCAAGATTAAAACAAATGAACACTTGAAATAATTCACTTTGTGTGAAATGAAGTTTCACTTTTTAAGTAGAAATACTAAAAATGAGTCAACTTTTCAAAGATATTCTAATATATTGAGATGTACCTGTAGAGGAATACTTAATCAGGATTGCAGAAAAATGCTTCACAACTAAAAAGCATCTATCTCATAAGAGGATCATGGCGGACGCCTCCCAATATACCTGGAACGTTAACGAGAAATGGGAAATACAACTACATTTTACAATCTAGGGTGATGTGTGGGAAGACTTGTGTGCTGGCAGCCATAAATGAATTAATAGTCAGTAATGGAAAGAATTTGACTGCAAACTGAAGATCAGGAATTTAACACTCCTTTCATAATTTCTGAGTATGAACAAGGACCATTGGTTGCGTTATGCTAGATGAAATTTTGAAAAATAGGGGACACTATACATATTATTTGGGACTGCCCAGCAATTGAAAGATTTTGGAAATCGGTTAAAGAGGACATTTAAATTATACTTGAAGCGCCTGTCCCAGTAGATCCTATGTTTTGAAAGCACAGACTTAAAAAGGTTTCCACAATGGAAAAGATGACTGCAAGTCTACAAATACAAATGGACTCCTTTACCCAAAGTTGGAATGGTGTTGAAAGATACCTGGTTGTCTCACTAGCTGATAAGGATAGTTCCAACTAAACTGTGTTAAAGATTAATAATATGGGAACTGTATGGTCTTTGTACAAATATAAATTATTTTGTATTATTATTAGCATTTATTTTGTCTCTCTGTATTTATGTATTTGATGTATTTCTTTATATTCATTTGGATTTCATTTACATTTTAAAATGATTTGCTGTACTCTGTTTTTACATGTAACTGTGGGTCATCTGAATGGAAAGTTCTGTGTCACTATGTCTTGTGATATACAAATTAAAACAAACAGTTAAAGAAAAAGAAAGAAAATAAATGTAGTATTCAGTATTTCTGAATTGAAATATTCTGAATATAATTTGAAAATGGGAATCCTGCCCAGGTCAAATACAATATTCAGTATGTAAAAGGTTATATTTTAGTTATCATTAATGACTTACCTCTTATTTTCCCCCAGATTCCTCCCACAGAGCTGGGTTCGGATTTCACCTCACATCGGTCTGCAGACAAAAAATATTGTATTCTATGATATTGAGCGGAATTTAATATTAAGAGCACCAAAGACAACAGAGCAATGTGTCCTGTTTTAAAATGGTATTGTTATAACGTTTTATCTTTGTAAACTGTTCTAACATTGACTTAACATGAGATTCAAACACCTGGTCAAGATGTGTGCTTTTTTTTGTCCTCTCAGTGGGCACACTCTGCTCAAACTGACATGGGCTTGACCTAAAGGTCACACATTTACAACACTGGGGTTTGGCCAAAAACGACAACGGATCGTGGTCTGAATAAAAAAACTGATTCAACAGTGTTTCACAACCAAGCATAGCAGCCTGAAGAAGCACCGTCTTTCATGACGGTCTGAACTTAAATCCTGACCTGCTACAGACCACACCCACAGTGATGCTGTAATGGTAACGTTCTCTTCTTATGAAAAAGTGTGATCTAATCAGGAGCTAACACAATCTATAAATGTATAACCATGATCTTGGACATAATTTATTTCAAAGCCAACTTTTCACTGCTCTGCTAAGGCGATTAACTCCTTCAGTCTCCGTCCTCAAAGTGCACACATCCTAAAAAGGCCTCCTGTCAGGCTCAATGTAATGTAATTCTTGCTTTTTTTGGTAGATTCAACTTCAAAGCTTTGGGCTTATACATACTGGGTGTTTCTCAATCTCGAGTACGCTTGCTTGGTAGCACATGTCTGCCGAGCATCTTGCTTCAGAAGCGAGGCAAGAATACTTCCTGGCATTCGGAAAACGAAGAGTGGAACAGGAGAGCAAGTGTGCAGGCGTGCGTCATATGAGAGGCCCCGCCTTACATTTTCCGCAACAGATTTGGGGAAATTGGTCCGTGCGCAAAGCATTGTGGGGATTTTAAGACCGCGGAGTCTACACATGTGCAGACTCGAAATTTCTCCAAACGAAGTACGCCGGGCTCGGTAGAATTCCAAGTATGCTGGACATTGGAACAGTACTTCGGCGGCACTCGATGACGTAGTATGCTTGAAATAGTGGCTCTGGAAGAGCTTTACTCGAGATTGAGAAACACCCACTGTTTTTCCTCCAGCAGAGGAAGAGTCCAGTGGAAAGCAGCAGCAGCAGAGGGACGAGCAGCAGGGTGGTGATGATGGCTGGCAGAACAGCCTGCCCCCTGCTGGGCTGAGCTGCACTCGTATTCTTCTCTGCTGCTTCTGTGTAGGCTTCATGCCGAGCCACAGTTTGCTTCTCTTGGACGGCTGCTGCCTTCGACATGTTGTGCTCCGGCCTCAGTTTAGTTTGGACAAACGTCTCCATTTCTATTTAGAGAGAAAGTATGTTAATAACAGGGTTTCATTGATGCCTGATTTCAGGCCCTCTTATTATCATTACAGTATTAAAACTATAACATTTAAAAAATACACACCTTCAAGGTATTGAACCTCGATTCCAGCTTTCTTGACAGACCGATGTAACTCTGAAAAATGAAGATGGAAAAAATGTAGGTATTTGTTGAATCCAGTAGTGGAATAAGACTGCACAGTTTAATAACATAGAACATAGAATTGGAGGATGAGTCCCTCTTTAACACATACATGCATACAGCACACACAGTGAAAGTTGGTCTCTGCATTTAACCCATCCTAGTACTAGGAGCAGTGGGCAGCTATTGTACAGCGCCCGGGGAGGTAGACAGGTAGACAGTTCATCTGCAGAGCCACTACAACTAAGATTTCATATTAGGGATGTAACTATGCATCGTGAATCGGTTAAAAATCGGTACAGATGCGTTATGATTCAAATCGGTTGAGCCAAAAAATTAACTGCGATGCAGTTTTTTAAACGGCACAGGGATGGAACTCATTTTGATTTGATTAGCTGGAACAGCCGTCTGGACATGATTGAACACTATCTAGAACAGGGCTTCTCAAACTCCGGACCAAGGTCCGGCTCCGGACCGAACTGCAAATCAATCCGGACCGAACCCTGTGTCCCATTATTTAAAAAAAAAAGAATTAAAACAAAAGATTATAAAAAAAGAAAAAAAGAATTTCTGATGTAAATTAAAGTGGACCTATTATGCTATATTGGAAAATATATTGTAGGGCCATACCTATACAAAACATGTCTGTGAAGTTTTTTGCTTAAAATACCAAACGGATCACCCATTGTAGCCATGCCTCATACTACTCATACATATGTAGCACTTCATTTCAGACTCCAGCTTACAGCTTCCTGCCTACGACCTGCCTAAGACCAGTATAGAGGAATGTTAAGCCCTCCCACTATTTTCCAAGAGGGCGTTGCCAGATTTTCAATTTCAGGTTTTAACCAGGAGATGGCGCTTCATTCACAAATACAGAAAGACAAGTTTCATGGACTTTCAGTTGTGTTTGTTTTCAAGAGCATTTGAACACATCAATATTTTAGATCAACTAAAGTATATCTAATCCGATTCTTTTTTTTTTTTTTTTTTTTTTTTTTTTTTTTTTTTTTTTTTTTCTAATTCTTGTAATCAAATAACATATCTTTATAATATTAATAACATAATAATAATGTAAATGCTTTACATTACAACTTCTTTTATTTGTTATGCTCATAACTTTTAACTTTACAATGCGTTTGCTTTAATATGCAGTATATGATTTATTATTCATTATTATTAATATGAAGATATTAGTTAAGATAAGATAAGATGTTACTTTATGATGGAACATTTTAGTTTAGAATGTGCTGTCCCAACGGTAATTCAGTAGGCTCCACAGGTCACCATTCCGACCATTATTTAAAAACAATAGGTGCTTTCCATCACCGTTCTACAGTTTTGATTGTATAGACGGAGCCTCTGTTGCTGGCTGAATGGCCACAGCGATTAGGTGTGGCCGCCCATTTATCATGCAGGTGATCCAGAGCTAAACTGCCTGCCGTCAGATTTCATTTAAAAAACAGATCTGATTTTTAAGACTATTTCTGCGCTCATAAAAGATGATAAGAATAAGATAATGGCGTATTGAACCGGTTTCATTAAATTAGTGAGTTATTTAACCACTAGAACCGCCAAATCGGGTCAATTTGTGTGATGGTGTGTTGTGTGTGTGGACCAATGTAACTTTTTAAAAAAAAATATATTCAACAGTCTCCCAGTTCGTGACTTTCCCTGAAAGTGTGTTATGTAGCACCCTATGTTGTTAAAAATGCATTCCTAATAAGCGGGAATTTAACGGCTTAGGTAAGGCCTAATACAAAAACTCTGGCGGTTCTAGGGTTAGGTAATTAGGACAGGAGAAGCCCTTTTTTGTAATCAGTAACGAATTTAGCAAGTTGAAACAAAAAAAGTCAACTAACAGAGGGTCACTTGCAATGACAGTGGTTGTTTAACTGTAAGCGTGTCACTCAGAGTAACCTTAACAGTTAATTTAGCTGCTGGAGAAGAAAGATCAGGGGGGAGGGGGGGAGAGAGCTGGGTTGCTGGGGCCATTAGTTGTGTAAATACCAGCTGAGAGCTGCCGTTCATTCAGACCTGTTTAAAAAACGGTAACAACGACTATTTTAAGATCAGATGTTATGTTTCCCAGGTTTGCTCTGTCTATGTTCAGTATGCAAACTGTCCTTTCGCGAAATTACGGCGTATGAATCCCAAAACATAGTGTTTGTTGATTCATGTAAGAATCTGCAATAAAAATAATTTTATGGGGTATGGGGGGGTCTGGGACCCGGAGTACATGCTGCGGCCGTGAGCGTTATGTGCCAGATCATGACACGCCATGGTGTTCTTTTTTTTATATATTATAATGGAAGGCGAGCTGTGGCTCGAGTCTTCCTGCCTTGTCGCATCTGCTCTATGGATGTATAATAAGCCTCTGCGCTCCGAGATGATGGGTCCTAGCTTCAGCAGATACATTCCTACGGGGCGTTCGTTATATTACGTGCGTCGAGTCACTGGTGGCACAGACCTGACCGCTGGTGAACAGCTGTTAGAACGGGCCGTTCAGGTGTTCAGAGAAAGAGCTCCCTTCGGAGCGGCAGAGCGTGATGTGAACTGAAAAAGTTTTCTGTGCAATATTATTTAGGAATCGTTGAGCTAGCTTGCTAGCATACCATTGTCACTATTCTGCTAACGTTAGCCTTTAGCATTCCTATTTCTCATAGTTTTTTCATAGGCTAATGAATAACAGAGGTGTATAAGTATATATAATCAAGTACATATTATATACTATATAATATAATATATATATATATATATATATTGTACTTGGTAAAGTAGAACACTCAGATCTTGTACTAGAATAAAAGTAGAAGTACTCAGATCTGTACTTGAGTAAAAGTAGAAGCACTCAGGTCTTGTACTTGAATAAAGTAGAGCACTACAGATCTTGTAGAGTAAATAGTAGAAGTACTCCAGGTCTTGTACTTGAGTAAAAGTAGAAGTACTCAGGTCTTGTACTTGAGAAGAAGTAGAAGTACTAGATCTTGTACTTGATAAGAAGTAATATACCAGAGGTGTAGGAATACTCTGTTAAAGTAAAAGTCCTGCAATTACAAAAATGTCCTCAATGTAAAAGTAGAAAAGTATTATCATCAAAATATAGGTTAAAGTAGCGACAGTAAAAGTATCATTGGTGCAGATTGGTCCATTTCAAGCATAACAATGATATGTTTTATAATGATTGATCAAAAGTGTTCTCAAAAGCTGGTAAAAGCGTGCAGCTAGTTTGAATGACTTGTATACTGGCAGGGTAGCTTGTGATTTATCCAGGTGGACTAAACTCTGGATTAACACTTGATTATATTCACATCATTCATGCCACATCTTGTAAAAGATAACAAAGGTATTAAATACATGTAGGGGAATAAGCAGTACACCATGTATCTCTGACTGTAGTGGAGTAGAAGAACTAAAGTAGCAAAACATTGAAATACTAAATAAAGAACAAGTACCTCAAATTGTGCCCGAAACTATAGTACTTGATGAGTTATGAACTTAGTTAACTTACAACATGTGGGCAATAAAGATATGAAAACTAAGCCTTGCACAGAGGCTGAAAATACATTTTTTTTTCCCCAAAATGCTCAACAGTGCTGCCAAATTATAACTGGCTGCTACAACAATTAAATAAATTGCTTTATATATTTCTATTAGATGTATCTTTGGCGTTACTGTTATTATTAACAATTGCTGCTTAGTGTTCTGACTGCTGATATCCTCTGTTATTCCCTCATTTTAAAGCTGAATTCCCTGGGGTGGGAGCCGGGGCTCGGATCTTTGTCACGTTTTCATCAGATGAGTTTGCATCCCAAGCCTCAGTCACCTTACTTCATGTAATAAAAAACATCTCAGGTAAGTAACACTCAAAGCTAAATGTGCAATACCATGATCAGCATGTTTACTATTTATATTGTTAGTTTTGTTACATCGAAATGTACATATCATGGAATGATTTCTTAACTTACAGTAGGCTATTTTTTACAATGTTGTTGGAAAGATTTTAATTAAATGACTATGAATATTGTCCATTGTTGAAGGCTTTTAAAGAAGGATGAAACTTTAAGCCTGAATTACAATAACATGTTTATACCTAAAACATAAAAGCCACAATAATCAATCACAATTCATGCAGTTATTTTTACCTCGCCGTATTGGCTTTCCAACCCACAGCTTTTATGGTGTTGTACGTCACATAACTGTAAGGCTTGTCACATACACTCTATGGTCACTCGAGTACCTTACAGTAATTTCTAGCTGCTGGAGAAGAAAGATCAGGGGGAGTGGGGGGAAGAGAAGCTGTGGTCATTCACCTGGTTTAAAAAACGGTAAAAGCGGAATAGTTTTTCTTAGCGGGATGCATGTTCAATTTAAATCAATACATACCAACAATTTTTTAAATCAATAAAAAACATTTTCCTAAATCCATAAAAGCATTTAAATAATATTGGGAGTCATGAGTCGTTACTTGTGAGAAAGGGGGGGGGGGGGTGTGCCATGTAATGTAAGCGGGAGAACTTGCAGCGACTGTTCTTTATGGTGAAAATACACCCCGTCATAGCAGATCAGGATCACCTACGCTACGCGTTGGGGATCTGGATCTGCCGACGAGGCCATTAAAATATAAACATTTTAGTGAATTACTGAGTTTTATGGCACGTTAAATAACGTTTTTTAATGAAGGTGAATACAGTATATTCATATGTTCAGCTGATTCATGCAATCGGCGAACATAAACATAAATGATCGTGGTGAAAGCATGATGATTAAATTAGACTAAAAATCGAGGAGCCGGGCCTGCATTTCCTCCCGTTCTTTTTTTGACTAAACACTTATTGTGTTAAATAACAACATGGTGAGTTGTTTGTAAATATTACAGTCTCTTATTAGCGACAGAGTATGATATCCGTGCAATGGACTTAACAAAGTCCGCTGTACATCCAGCCATACTGTAATCTGACGTTTATTTCACATGAGCTCCAGTGTGG